GGAATCTTATGTACGGCGAAGAACTTTGTTAATCTCAAGCGACGGAATAAAAAAACTTTTTTCTTCTCTTGATGACTAGGCATTACATTTCAGAACAAGCAACAAAATGAGATAACTTTTTCCACAACTTTCTAACTAACCCATCGAAATTGATCAGAACCTTTCGGTACATCTCGGTAATTGATTTCCTGAAAAGAAACGCGGAATAAAATTCACGCGAATCGAAAGGAATCGGATGCATCCGGAAGTCTATACAAGACTACATTTTTTTTCTGGTTGAGGACTGAAAAAATTTTTCAGGTATCTAAAACTGTTATAGAGCGTCATCGTGACGTATTACGTTAAACATTATAACCTCATCACATAAACAATTGAAAATGTTATAGAAAAATGTATCAGTAAGCCGGAGTGATCAATTACCATCGATTTGAAACTCTCGCAATTATCGAACTCGTTGATCTCAATGATCTTGTTGATTCGCGGATAATAGTAAACAATAAGAAGGCGCGGGAAATTTTCTCCTTTCTCACTTTAGGCTGGAGAAAGAAGCTAGAGAAGAGGAGGAATCCCGTTGGTTCGACATGAATGGCAATAACACATTCCAGTAATGAGCTCCTTGTAAATCGTCATCATTCCAAATGGTAGTTTATCCCTCTAGTTTCCTTGAAAACCGGAAATGGCACGATAATTTTCCCCTCATTTTACATCAACGATCTACTCAATGATCCATTTCAGTGATAATTCCACCAACTCCAGGACTATATTTTTATTGATATATCTATGCGACTTATTTGTTGTAAATTTTTAGCGGATATTTTATACAAAGTGGAATGTCTGTTCCGGTGAAACTTAATGGCTGATTTCGCGAGGTTTGAGATCGAGATTTGCGACTAGATATGAAGTATTCTGATGCCGATTCAGATTAGGCGTCAAAACACTGAATTACTGGATTTTTATTTGCGAAGTTATATACACGTGGTCAGAGAGATTAGAGGGGAATTTTTGCTGGGACTTCCTGGTGGACTTTCCAATGTAATTAATAACACTGACTGAATTCAATCCATTTAACTCAGACGTGATGTTTATCATCATTTTTATTTGTTTATTGATATTACGGATTGACAAAACACCCGGTTTTTCAAATTTTCCTCTCATTCCGTTTTTAATTCTTCGAAAAAATTTCGATTCCGAGTTGTCTTGTTGAGAAAAAAGTAATTCGTCATTACGATTTAATATTGTACTGTTAAATGGTCATCCTTGATATCTCATCTTAAAAGGAATTGAATTGATGTTCATTGAGTGAAATTGCAAACATTGGAAAGCTCATGTTGGGAAATTTAAAATAATGTAGAGCATCACTAAATTGATTTATGAGGGTAGGAAGTTTGGATGACTGTAAGTATTAGGTGATTGGCGTGGACAATGATTTTTTAAATGGGGATTTTTTATGAGCATCTTGACGTTTATTTACGGTGATCAAAGGAGGATCAATGAACCCGATATGCCTGGAAGACTCGATATATCCTCAGTTGGTTCGCGGACGAGTGAATCAGAGGCATTCGGCCGTGAAGAAAAAGGGCTCTAACGTGTTGTCCAGGGGAAATGCGAAACTCAAGGCCCGATCAAGCAGAACGGATACAGAAATTCACTTTTTTCTCCTCCCTTATTTTTCATAAAATACCATTTTTGCCTGATTTTTGTCACTCTGATTTATTACGTGATTCCTGCAGCAGTTGAATCTCGAGCTCGTTAAATCTGAATGCAGCGAGAGAGCGAAAGCAGATTATAAAACCCCGTGGGTTTTAACTATATCACAGTATATAAAGGTATATACTATCGTCGACAACCATTCGTGGAATAGAGTTGAGAGACTTGATGACGAGTTCGAGAGACAATGGGGATTAATTTAACGATGGAATCGTTTATGACATGACAACGGGGAAAGTCACAAATATTCGTGATGGAGAGTTTAAAACTGATAAAAATGTGAATCACGTTTAACTTGTGAATATCTTGTTTCATGGGAATCATTCAATCTTGATTGAAATCACTTCAACAGCATTAAACATCTACATTGAATAAAAGAATTCCTTCTTTCGTATCAAACAATTGTCCTAGGACAGAATTTCAAGACTCAAGTTCTTTCATCTTTGCTTCTTATATCTGAAGTAATTGAAATCAAATTCTTGTACAAACTTTATCAAATTAATTTTCAAAATGATATTATATATTGAAAATTAATTAAAGTTTTGTTAATAATTGAAATGCATTAATGGCTGTCTTTCGAAAAGTGTTCAAAATTTGAAAATGAATTAATGCGGAAATTAGAAGAAAAAACAACCGTTGTTTGAGGGCGTGTCATGCCGTTGCTGGAATATCTCCACCTTTCATTCCATTTTACTTTTATTCTGACTGCTCAAGTTATTCAACTCGTCTTCTTACTCGCACCGTTTTACTGATTATCATGCACACGGCGTAAATTCCGACTAGTACCTTCGAAGAAAGATCTCGAGACCAGAATGATCCATTTTGTTCACGACGTGATAGGACACGTTTCATTCGCATTCCGAAGTGATTTTCCAATTAAATCAGTTGATAAACTACACTTTTCCTCAATAATTTAACTTCTCATCCGCCAAATTTGATTGATTAAAAATTTCCAAATTTTCACAGCGTACACAATTTTCAGTCTTTTTTTTCAATTCAGAAATGCTGTAGTACAAATTGTCAAAAAAAAAGTGGAATAGTGCAATTTATCATTTCGTTTTCTTTACATCCTGCTTCTAGTGATTTGCATAAATAAAAGAGTTATTTTGAATAATTATTCAAAGTGGGATAAATCTAGGCTATTCTATTCCTGTTATTCTATTTTTATAGCCTATTCTATTTTTATAGCCTATTTGTTTTTCAAATTTAATTGGAGCACTTCAAATCAAGTCCGGGATAAATAAGAAATATCGTCTAAAAATATTATGTAGTCTTTACTAAGTTTTTCTATGGGGGCGGTTCCCTCATTTGCATGAAATACCTCATGTACGGCGATCGCAATGGCATTGTCAATGCTTCTGAGACAATACTGTCGAATCACACGATTGAAAGCTGTTAAAATACGATATCAATGGCTAACGGTAAAGCACGCGTGTCCTTCAATATCGATGTCAAACATTAAACAACATAAATGTGGACTCACCACAGAATTCCTTCACCAAGCGTTGTACTTGCATGTAACCACGAAACCGTTGACCTTATCGTCCATAAACATAAATTATCACACACTAAACACTCCACTGGTTTATTTACTTTTATTATTATTTATTGCACTTTTTCTTTGTCTTGAGAAAGTATGTTTACACCTTCTGTGACCTCCACGAAGATCTGCATTTTTGTGGTTAGTTTCCATTCTTCAAATTGACAGAAAAATCTCCGCAATTAACAAACAGTTAACACCAAAATTGGACAAAATGAAATCCAATTGTCGAACTTATGTACATGGTACAATCTCTTACTAGATTGTGCACCAATTATCCTTATTATCTTCTGCTTTTGTACGAATAATCATTAATTATGACACACTACACAACCCATTGATTTATTTACTGTTATGACTGTTTATTGCACTTTCTTCTTGGTGTTGAGAAAATATGTTTACACTTCCCGCGACCTCCATGAAGATCTGCATCTTTGTGGTTATTTTCAACTCTTCAGATTGACAGAGTAATGTCTGTTGATGCCAAAATTTGACGAAATGGAATTCAATTATCGGATTTACGTACATGATAACATTCCTTACTCGATTGTGTTCCAATGATGCTTATTATTGCTTGACACTTTTGTTAAGTGCTAGTCTCTTTGTTGTGAAGGAAACACATGACGATCGCACGAGTCGCGATATGTGGAACTCCTAGGGCCTACTCCCTATTGGCCAACGCGCACCGGCAATTTCAAATTCGGCGCACGCAATGCGCAGTACGTCTCGTGATCCAATGATTCAGAACGGAAGAGATAAAAAATTAACAACAGCAATAGGAGTTGTAATTTTTCTAGGATACGTTTCACGGGGTATTAAATCGTCCGAGTGACCTACTCCTTCAGCAATTAGTACTCACTGCCTTGACATGAAATTGTTAGTTTGAAATTCTGATAAATTAGAATATTTCAAGAAACTCGTTTGTACGAGTGACTCAACCCTTCACTAACATTTTTTTTTCACTTATCCCTCTAAACCCCTTGGCTAGTGTTTTACCTATAGAAAATGAAAAAATGATTTTCTTGGTCTCTTATGTCTGTGGTAATTACTGTAATCTTGAAAAACTCAGTAAAGAATGAGGGCGTTATTGTGAATAAGTGTTGGACCGAGAGTTTCTGAAATTTTTCTGCATGCAAAAAATAACGTCAATAGCAATGAATATAATACGTTAATGTAAGAGTGATTTTTATACCTAATGTTTTTCCAAGCGAATGGCCCTTTTTGTCAATGTTGCGAAAGATTTTAGTGATCATAAAACTAAAATCATGAGAAGTGAGGGAATAAGTGGTGGATATATGGAAATTGTTGGAGAAATTCAATCATTAAAATTTGTAGTTGAAGTAATCCATCATTTTCCGCATAGTTCATTCATTCTGACGTTTATATATTTTTGAGCTTCAATATCCACTCATCGGATATACTTGCATAACAATAACAAAAGTGAAAATCAATTTCTCAGTTTTCACCTTTCGGTTTCTCTGGCGCTGCAAATTCTCCCAATAAATAATTATTGCCAATTCAACAAATTCGGGAACTGATAAACAAAAAACGCTTCTTCGTAATTATAATTTCAATTTCATATGAACATTCAAAGAGATATCTGATTTTGACTGATTACGGATGCGCACTGAATGATTAGTTATTGTTAGCAATAATTAATCCTTTGGAGTTTCATATGATGACTCGTCACGTTTTCATATTTTACTAGCCGATAAATTGTCTTCAATTTTTGTTTTTTTTTTCGAAATTACAGCTCAGGTTCATCGAGTGCCTCGAGCACCGGTACAGGGTCGTCGTCCGGTGGTGGCCCAGGAACCGGAAACAATGGAGGCAGCAGAATGGCAGTCATCGGTGTTACAAGGAACATTCGGTTGAGACGTCGTGGTGCTTCCGGTTTCGGTTTTTCATTGAGGGGCGGA